GTGATGACAAGAATAATTTCTTATATATCTATTCTGTCCATTGCAAAAGTGTATTTCTCTTTTGTGCGAAATATGCTTGTATATTGCTGTTAGAGGTAGATGCATCTGTCTATGTTCTTGATATATATGATATATCTATTTATTATATTTCTCATATTCTCTAATATAGTTTTTCTATTTCTATTAAGACTCTTTCTAGTAGGTTGTATTAGTAGATATGCAACTATATAAGTTATTTCTTTAAAGGTTTATAGTATTCTTCTATATTTCTATTTTTATTTTATCCTTGATAGGGTTTTCTATTTATTCTTAATATAGATTCTTATAGGTTATTGTTCTTGATCCATTATCCTATAATATTAATTGAGTATGAAGTAACTCTTTCAAAAGGGAATCTTTTCTAATATCTTCTGCATTAGATTCTCTTTCTATCTTTCTTTTGCTAGGATGACCTTCTCTTCTAGGTGATTCTTGAGTACAGCTTGTCTGATTGGTTTGTTCCTTATAATTATGAGATTAGTGTCTCATTCTCATATTAGTATTTACTTATTTTATCTATTTAATACTTCTTCTAAGACTAAATCTTTCTTGTTTTTCTTCTTATATATTTTAATATTGTATTTTATCTTTATTTAAATCATCAAGTATTTTCTTTAATTATATTAGTATATTTTCTTTATCTACTTATCTTATTTATTCTGCTTAGATTCTTTTATAATTTATTATTTGTTTTAATTATTATTCTTTATCTTTAATTAACTATTTTAATTCTTTATTAAAATTAATCTTATTATCAGTTATTCTATTAGTTTTACTAATATTAATTAAAATAAATAGAATTATAATTGCAATTTATTTCTTTAAATCTAAAATAACTAGTTTCTAGTTTTTTTTTAGCTTTCAGTATTTATCTATAAAATAATCTAATTTTTTATAATTAAAATAAACTTTATTTTTTCTTAGTTTATTCTTTTTTTCTTTAAATAAGATTATATTTAGCTATATAACTATATCTTTATTATAATCTTATAGTGGGTTTTATTATATCACCTAATTTGTTCTAAACTATAAAAATTCTCTATATTTTTTCTATTATTAAAATTTTTATTTTTTTTATTTAATTTTAAATAGTTTATTATTAATCTTGATTACTATTTTAATAAAATTATTAATATCTATTAATCAATCTATTTTAATTAATTCTATCTGAACTTCTTCTTTTAGTATATTTTTAAATGTAGTGATTTGTACTCTATTATTATATTTTAATAATATTATTATCTTTTAAAATTTTATTGCTAGTTTTTATATTAATCTAATTTATTATAGATATCTTAGTTTTCATTTAGTGATGTGTATTTTATTAATATTTCTAAATAACTATATAAGTTATTCTTTAAAGCTAGTATAACTTATAAATATCTTAACAGTGATTGTGTTTTAGTCTTCTTGTGCTAAATTATAAAAGTTATCTATTATTAGTTATATCTAGTTAGCTGTATTGTTGGTGAGATAAGTTATAATAAAAATTATCTTGTTATAGTTTTATTTAATTTTATTAGCTTTTATATATATGCTTATATTTATTAAAAATAATTTAAATTTAAAGTGTATTTTATTAAATTTTATTGGTTTAGATAGTTTAATTTTATTAGTAATTAATAGTAAATTTAATATTATCTAAACTTTTAATTATTTAATATAATCTTTTTATTTAATTTTTTTTTATTTAAATTATTTAGAATATTCTCTAAATTGATTTATTTAATTATTTTTAATTCTTAGCTTATTTTCAAGTTGTTGTATATATTTAATTATCTAGTTAAACTATTCTTTAAGAGTAATATAGTGGGCTAATATTTTATTATCCTTATTATAGTGTGCTGTTATTATATATTATTATTATCTTGCTATAGCTTAGGCTATTTATTATAATTATTATCTTAAGATAGATAAACTATTATTACCTATTATCTTAAATATTCAGATAAAGACTTTATCTTTTATATTAAGAGTCTTAAATTATTAGAAACTTTAGTTAATTATTATCAAGTATAGCTAGGATAGCTATTAATAAATAAAGTTAATAAGCTTCTAGTATATAAAAGTTATAAAAAAATAAATAAAGTCTTAAATAAGATAGAATATTCTAATTGATAGAAAATTATATACTTAAGTTATCTTAGTTAATTCAAGATAATAGAAGAAAACTAAATATATAATAAATAAACATCTCTTATATAGCTTTTCTCCATTATAATTATTATAGCTATTTCCTTTTATTAGGCTCTGATAAGTCTAATCATATTCATTATAGCCATGTACTAACAACTAACTCTGATGGCCATGATAGCCTTAATCCTGATATGTCCTAGCTCTACTCGTGGTATCTTCGGATAATCCTTTGTTCCCACGCATTAGCGTTTCATATCCATTGGCTGTGACGTTCTGATTCTCTGACAATATCTTATTACTTTTCTAATATATTAATTTGATATAGGTTTTTATACTATTCTTATATTAATTAATTAAATAATATAGCTAGGTTCTTGTTTATATGCTTTTTAAATATCTTATATTTAATATTTTAAAATTTTTATTTTTTATTATTTTCTACTCTTAAAGGAAGATATAATAGATAGTGTTTATCTAGCTTCTTTAGTACTAGTTTAAGTAATTAAACTATTTTAATTTTTAAATCTAGAATCTAAATCTTAGTTTAAGAATAATAAGATAAAAAAAAGAGTAATCTTAAATTAAGTATATTAAGTTACTTAAGATTAGAGTATTAATCTATTTATAGATTTATAAGGATTAGTATTAGTAAGTAAATAAGAGTTTAGTCTAATATAATAATGTAATATTAAATCTATTTGGTTATTAATATAAAGAGATTAAATTAGAAAGAAGAAGAAAAGAAAAGAATAATTATTAATTTTCTTTTTTTTATTTATATTTTCTTCTATTCTAGATATTTATAAATTATCTCTATTATATGCTGGTATCTAAGAATCTAGATTTTTAGAAGGTTTTAATAATATAGAATATTAGCTGACAAAGACTATTTACTCTTCTTGATATTATATAAATCCTCCAGCAATCTATAGTATAAATTAAAATATAGGGTAATCCCTATAAGACATATCTAGCCCCACATCTTCCCTGCATGTGATTTGTCCACAGGAGGCGGCCCGCAGGTACTTCCGCAGTAACCGCATGCCGCCAAGCCAAATCGTACTAGGCCGTCACAATAAATATAAAATACTAATATATAAAAATAAAGGATTATTTAAAAATATTATAGATGAAGCTAGAATATATTAGAATTAGAACTATTATAGCTATTAGAGCTAGTTATTAATATTTGGCTATAATAGATATAATTAGATTTATTAGAGCTTAATATAAGGAAATAGTTATAATAGCTATAATAAAGAAAAGTTATATAAGGATGCTTATTTACTATATATTTAGTTTTCTTCTATCATCTTGAATTAATTATAATAACTTAAGTATATAATCTTCTATTAATTAAGATATTTATAGCCTTATTCTTATTTCTTTTGTCTACTGAGATCTTTTGATCTTAGAAGCCTATTAACTTCGCCCGTTAATAGCTATCCTAGCTATACTTGACGGTAAGATAACCGAAGTTTCCGACAATACTTTTAAAAAAAATTATTTTACTTTTTAAAATATTTTAGTTAAGTTATTACTTTTAAAAACTTTAAATAAGCTTTTTTCTATTAAAAATAGATTTTATCTTATACTTTAATTAGCTTCTTTTAGATAAAATTAAAGAATAATATATCTATATAATAATAATTAATTGTATAAATATACTCATTATAATATTTTAAAATTTTAAATTTTATATATAATTTTCTAAGTTTAGTATAACAAAAGTAAAAAATTATAAGAATAACTCTAGTAAATTTAATTCTTAAAAAGAGATTCTTCTTAGAAATATTTTTCTTTAAAGATATAGTTAGTATAAAATTATAAGATTATATATTATAAAAAAATTAAAAGCTAAGATTAAATTTTTATATATTTAAGAAATATAAGCTATTTATTGAAATATTAAGATACTATTTTTTAGAGAAAAGGATTATTAGAGAATTAAAATATTATAACTAATAAATAAGGAATGCTAATGTATAGAAATAAAAAATTATTTAAAAATATTATATAAAAAGCTAGAATATATTAAGATTAAGACTATTATAATTATTAAAGCTAATTATTAGTATATAGCTATAATAAATATAATTAGACTTATTAGAGTTAAGTGTAAGAAAATAATTATAATAATTATAATAAAGGAAAAGTATATAAGAACATTTATTTATTCTATATTTAGTTTTCTTTATTATCTTAAATTAACTAAGATAACTTAAGTATATAATCTTTTATTAATCAAAATATTCTATCTTATTTTAAGACTTCATTTATTTCTACAACTTTTGTATACTAGAAGCCTATTAACTTCACCCATTAATAGCTATCCTAGCTATACTTGACGGTAATTAAACCGAAGTTTCCGACAGATAGCTTATTTACCACACATAGTTGTTCTTTTAAGAAGTATTATTTATAGCTATTTTTTTACAAAGGTTAACAGTAAAGTGATATAATTAATCTACATTCCAGAATATCTGTGTATAGATAATTTATAGAGTTTAATAAAGATGCTATTCATTTAGAGGAATAGACATATCTAGAGTTAGTTAAATTATGCTTAGCAATTCATCTTCTCATTTATTATTACCTTAGTAATCTAGTCCTAAATAAGAGTCACTATTGCGATAGATAGTTCTTTAAAAGACTATATAATAATATGATTTTGATCCATTTTGAGTAGAGGTTTCCCATATGAAGTTTAGGGCAAGATATAAAAAAGATTGTCAGGTGAGAGAAGAGATTTATATAGGTTAAGAATTAAGATCTTAGCAACATCCAAGCAAAGTATGTGACTTTTATCATTCTCAACCGTTAGTTCAAGAATCTTCGCCCAGCACATAGTTGGTAATAGACAATAAAAGTTCTCTGTCATAGGACTGTCCTGATGTGTTCCAGTCTCGTTGGTATGCCCAGCTGGGTTTCGCTTCCCGCGCCCTCGCGGTAATTTCTCCCATCTTACCAATTTGCTTCTATTGGATTTAAGAGTATACTTTACCACGTTTTCATTTCTTATTATCTAATGAATTTCCCCCTCTCATGGAAGACATATCTGCCTCGACTCACGTCCTGATGTTCACGACAAATTAAATAAGACTACATAATCGCTCTCAACTATCTTGCGATCGAATTCTCTAATCATTTTCCTTCCAACATATTTGTTAGTATTTGTGCAACTTACCGCACACACTGACCGATTCTGACATCCGGTAATCGCTATGCCAGGGCAATTGATACTCCTATCTGCGGTAAAAAGTCAGTGCTGGTATCTAATGATAACAACATGAGCTTGGGACCCTATATTGATTATAACGGCCTGAGTACGAGTGCGGAATCTGCGAAAGCTCCTTCAAGTATGAAGCTGCCCTTTACGACCATTGCAGACACACCAATGGCCATTCCCGGTGTGATAGGTGCTTCCAAATGTTTGTTGATGCCAAGGATCCGCATCTTCAGCAATCTAACGCGCATCATATCTGTACTGTGTGCCCCTCATCACAGGATTCCGAGAGCGACTGACACCTCGAAGATCACCTGGTAGAGTCGCATCATCACTGCACAGAATGTTCTATATACTGCAACTCTAAGGATCAGCTTCAACACCATGAGGTTGAGAACCACCATGTTTGTATTAGATATAGTACTTAGAATTAGCAACACATCCAGATTAACGGCGACAGACTCTTTTTGCACGTGATGATTTCACTTTAAAGCGGAGACAACGGAGAAACGAATAACAATAAGCCTTGCCTACCAAAGTACGAGAGTCTGATTTGCTGTTGAGTGCGGCTGATAGTTGATCTGATAAAATAGTGGAGTTTCCTTCCCTCCGACAATCAAAACATTGAACACAAAGATAACTCGCAAACGTCTCTCACAAACGATTTCGCATAGGAGTTGGGGATAGACGAAAACTACAATGGATACGACCTCTCTATCCGATGGTCAAAAAAACCGTCATCACGAAACCGATTCGCCGCACGAGCGCCTGCCCGATACAGATACAGGGGCGCGGATTGGTCGTGCCGAACGACACCCTCGAATGGTAAGAAGCTCTATTTGGAATCTCCATTGTGACAACTACAATGGTTATTGACAATGATTGGAGAAATCTCGGCCAAGAAGGAATGATGACGAGCTGGACGAACCTGCATCGGATCGTGAAGAGATTATCGTTGGCAAATATTATCAACCATCAGACGCCAAATCGGCGTTTGTGGGAGAGGATACGCCTCTTCACATTGCAGTTCGCAATGAAGATTACGACGCAATAACAAGAGCGCTACTTTATGAGGGAGCAGAAATAAATGCCAGGGATGCTAGCGGGAAGACAGCGCTTCATATTGCACTTGAGGACCGAAACCTTGGGTTAGTGGAAAGCTTGATGCCGTTCAGCCCGGATCTCGAGCTGAGAAGCCCCAATGGAATGACTCCTTTGCATTCCGCTGTTACTACAGGATGGGAACAAGGCACGAGGTTGCTCCTCTGTTACAACTTGGATATCAACGCGACGGACGCCGACGGGAATACGGTATTACACTTCGCCTGCTCCGCTGGTTACAAAGACGTCGTCAAGCTACTACTTGAGTCTGGTGCGAATGTTCACATTCGTAACTCGAATGGAAGAACACCACTCCAGTTAGCTGTTGCGAGTCGTACCAGGCGGTTGCCAGAACTACTCTTACAATATGGAGCAAGCATAGATGATGTACGCCGCAGAACGGAGTTGGTAAATAATGATAATAGCCAAGGTGTAACTAAGAGAGACCCAGAGATTCTGGGCACAAAGCAAGATGCAACCGAGGTAAACGAAGCATCTGATCTCGATTCAGTTTTTGCCAAATTCAGCGCAAAATATTGGGACGGGGTGCGTCGTGATAATGGCGATGGCCTTATCTTGGCTAATTACGATAGTCATGACATATTCTTTGACGCCAAAGTGGAATCGATCCGGTTACTTATGCACGAGGGCCAGGAGATGCACGCAATCCAGTTGAAGTTGAACTTCATGAAACCGTTCTCAAACAGGAATAGGATACGTTATGCCAAAGTGGACGTTAAGCTTGCCGTCTTCGACTCTGGAAACTTACCGCACATTCACAGTATAATGCCACAGGCGGACCGGGTCGAAGTTTCGGAGCAGGAAATATCATCAGGACAGACACTCACAGTTGGAGCATCAGGAGGGGGGGGACCATCAAACGTGAACATCAGTATGGAGGGCTCAAAATCACGAAAGTCAACATTCAAGGGCGTACGCATCATTCATGGAGTCGTCAAGGATCGGATGCATGCATCGTGGCGCATGTACGAAGAACCGGGCAGTCAAAGCGGATTGCCAGAAATTGTCCGGCTTCTTCTAGTTGTTCAGTGCAAGGTAGAGTTTGACGTATGGTTGTCGATGTCAGTAAAGGCTTGCCATGCCTTTTCTTTTGGTATTCCTCGGACGCTGGCTGCTAAAAGCAGGTCGCCATATCGAGTCCCGGATGTGGCTACTGTGTTGAAGCTTGAACGAGCCATGAAACTGAAGAACATTCTCAATGTCGCTGACCGCGCAGCTACTTCACTCGAAGAAGCGACAACGTTAGAAAGAGAGTTTGCCCGGTCGATTAAGAATCATAGCAAGAAAGGCTTGATCATGAAGGCGGGATTATGGGTTGACTTTGTGCGAGAATGGAGTAACATTGCGGATGCCTCCCGGGAGGGAGATATCACCATATTGCATGACAAACTGATGCAAATGGAGGTCAACGAGTACAGGCAGCGCTTTGTCGATGTCCAAAATGATGTCCACGCCAAACAAGACTCTCGAGATCATCATCGCAGCAACATCGATCAGCGTCTCGCACAAGGTGAAGACGACATCGTCGCAGACGTCCCCGCCTCCCGCACCCCGTCTCGCCGCCAGAAACAGTGCGACTGGGAACTCCTTATGGACCAACGTATCCTCGCCAAAAACGACATTCGCCAGGACATGGAGCTTGCCAAGCAACAACAAGAAATTGAACGTCTAGAGCGACAGCTGGCTAAGAGCAGAGTGAAACATCGTGACGAGGATCGTGGCTGGGTCTCTCGTCGGAGTCTCGTCAAAGAGGAAATTTGGGAGGACGATCTTGCCGAGCGATTGCGCAAACTTGACATGCTAGAAGCGTCGAAGCGCACAGGAGAAGAACAAAAGCTTGCTGATTATCTTTCCAAGGTTAAGCGACTGGAAGAAATTGAGGGGGAGCAACGCATTGCAGAAGAGCAGAAGATGGCCGATTACCGTGCTAAAGTCAAACGGCTCGAAGAAGCGGAGCACAAGGCGGCTAAAGAAGAGGAAGCTCGGCGCCTGGCCACGATTAAACGGCTAGATGACATGGTGCAAAAGACTGCCGAAGAAGAGGAGGCTAAACGTATCGCACAAGGGGACTACTTGGAGATTGAAAAGAAAGAGAAGATCAAGGCTGAGAGGGACAGAATCATGAAGGAAATCAAAGATGAAGAAGCCCGCAGAGCCCGCGAAGCCTTGAAGGAGGAAGAATGGGGAAAGGAGATGGCTGAGCTCAAGAGACGGGCCTTTGAAGAATGGCAACGGATTGAGGAAGCTAGGGAACTGAAGGAGATTGAGGAACAAAAGGCAAAGGACAAGGTGTTTAGGGAAAGGCTGAAGCTCGAGTCTGGGTATAGCGATGAGCATCGTGGCCTAGTCCAAGAGGTCATCATAGAACCCGAATATAGATCTTCACGGATTAGAGAAACAACACCACGGAGATATCGCTCCCCATCTTTCAGGCGGAGACGGAGCAATGACTTCGAAGATGTAGAGAAATTCGACCAAAGGTACGGCCGGGAGACTGGTAGAAGCATGGCTGTGGATTTTCTGAGCAGAGAACGGCCGTACAACTCTCAAGCGAAGACCGCCATGGAATCATTCTCAGCTGTAGGTCCGGGTTACAAAGTTTTGAGGTTAGCTTGACAATACTTTGTCACATCATACAAGATTGAAAAGTTGGCAACTGGCCGTTGGCGATTACAAAGCATTTTACGACTATTTTATAGTGGCAATGGAATGAACCGTAGAAGAAATGCAAGTCGTTCCGTGGGGATTTCTACCTACCATAAGTCTAGCCGGGTAAAATCTGAAACAAGATGCTAATGATATGGAACATTCTTGACAAATTCGGAGATGACAACATGTTCTTCAGATTTTAGACGATCTTTGAATCCAAGTTCACTGTCTCAACGCGAGCCGTTAAGCAACAGTCGACTCGAGTAGAGACGCCCAACGTGATTGAAGTCATTATCAGATCATATGACTCATCTGAGATGTCTAGACTAGCAGGCTACTAAATGTTATAGATCCCCAGAATCTAGGGGCGACAGCCAACGGAAATGCTGGACCCGATTAAATCTTGATTGGGTTTGCATAGTCGCAAACAGGAGGAAGTGAGCAGCAAATCGAGGCTCGAACAAACAATGCTGTTTAGCGCTAGCACTGAATACGTTCAGCCAATGGAGTGCTAGCGAATTATCACATTGCTTGGATAGGAGGGAATTACTGGTCCCACTAGTCTCAGACCACTCTCTGAGAGATGAGCCACCGATAAATACCGCCGCTCAACCAGACCACAATAGTTCATCCCTCGACGGCGGATATATCTTAGCATCAGATCTGCCTGTTGTCTTCATATTATTTGACAATAGATCTTCCTGACTACAGAATGAAATGCTGTCTACTTAAATGATAGAGTCAGTAACAAACAACGCGATCGTGAGGAAGAAGCAGGTTATATTATGGACGACTTAAAATCTGGAAAGTTCATCCTTCTTCTCCAAGAGACTTGTCTTTCTTGCAAATGCGTCCGAGAAAGTTCACCATCTTCATTCATGTTTCCAGATCAATATGAAAAGTCATGGAGTGCTACATCAAAGAAGAGACCATCCAGGGATGGAATACAAGTCCAATCTTCCATATTAACTAATCAGGTAGAGACTCAGAGTTCTGTTTATGGTAGATGAAACTCATAATGGCAGCGGTTGGGGAGGCCTTCCATACCGTACGACTCACTCAAATTGCAATTGCAGTCAGCTATCAACATAGCCATCTCCAGGCTCGCTTGGTCGAGTTGCTGCAGTCAGAAAGAGAGGTTCGGGTCTCTCGCAGTCTATCAACTAGCATAAGTTGCATTAGATTCGACACTACACTGCCTTGAATGCCGTCATCTATTGATACAGCCACTTTCACAAAGTGTAATATTCAACCATTCATGCAAGAGAAGATCGCGTTATCTATTCTCTAAGAATAATCCACAGCTATCGCATCGCAGAAGACTTGCACCATAAATATAGCGAGATTTCAGAACTTGCCCACGTTCATAATCAAGTCTCGCAGACTCATCTTATTTGCTATTCAAACACTCCCTTCACCCATGACTGACTAGCGAGCCCTTCGCCGATTAAAGGTTGTGTCCAGTGTTCGGTGCCCGTTCTGGCGCGAGGATGGAAGAAAGCCATGTAGCGTCGGAATACAGTAAAGGGTTATAAGGAAAGAGATATTTTTGCTTGTATGGCTCATCGGGATCAGACTGGAAACCAGGATTCTCAGCAGCTGTTGTGCTCGAATGGGCATTTATAGGTGAGCTGTGCGGTTCGGTCGAAGATGGTGACAACAGTTCTGATGCATGCGGAGAACTAGAATCTGTCACTAGTAACGGTGCGAAACACTGGAGCACTCTAGCTTCCAATTGCTTGGCTGATGTAACGCGTCTGAATAAATCATCACACATCCTAGAGCCCCTTTGCCATGTCTGATCAACCACTGCCACACTTCGAAGCCATCGGAGCACCTTTTGACATGCTAAAGGAATAGTAACTAATATCTCCCAAATGTCGTCATTACCTTTGCCATGGTCCTCACAGCTACTTCGATTCTCTGTAGGCAATAAACCCAGAGAAAGCTGCATAAGAAGCACAATGGCGACCTGCATAAGAAAATGAAGCATGATCCACCACGGCGAATAGGCGTAGAGCCATTTGAAGTCGGGTTCCTCAGGGAGATTCGCTATAAGAGAGAGTGCGGATTTGATGCATACTAGAGCTTGATCGTATCCTAAACGGGACAATGGAAAAACGATCGTAGTTTGCCGGTTAATGCCTGGTCCGGAGAGACAGAGGCGGCTTAGCATGATACGAGCACTGTAATAGTGCATGGTAAGAGAGGTCTTCTCCCTAGAGAGAGAACCATTGTCTGCAGCAATCGAGAATTGGTCAATGATGCGAGATTGCCAAATATCTAACTTCTTCGCATAGAAGTCTACTTGACGCTCCACCTGAACCCAATTTTCAAGAGGACTCGCCCCATACATGCGAGTGCTGATTGCTTGAGCGATTATTGACAGATCTACTATATAGAAGAAATACAACGGCGGATTTGCGGTGAGTGATTTCAGACGCTGTGATTGGAAGCGAACGTCCTGATCCTGATCTTGGTACAATGTCCAAGCAAGGAACTTCTGTCGAAGTAGCGGATCCCCGTCAAGTTGAACTTTCCAGAAGTCGTAATATTGGCTTTCCTCAACTGGTAAAGGTGCATACGCAGACAGAGAGTTAGTCAAGCATGACGGTCTTCCTGTTATAGTTGATAATTGGTGCTCTAGCGTGAACAGAGAGTACCAAAGGCGACAGCGTGCCTCCTTTGACGTGAGTACCATATCATCATCCACATTGTACAAGTTGATGCCAAGTGCAATCGCAGAACTAGTTGCAAGGTGGACCATTTTCCAGGCTCTAAAAAAAAGCAAATAGCTACTGATATCTCTATCTTATCGCCTTTCTAAAAGCACATGCTCAGACTTGCCGGTTGATTTGAGAAGAGGCCAAAAGATAAAGGGCAATAAGAGCTTCAATCTGCACTTGCTGCAGGCCATAGAGGGTATGATTTTCTACCCCAAGAGCTGTGGCTCTTTCGAAAAATACCTTGGCATCAAATGTATCAGGAATTTCCTGACTAATAGAAGAATATTTTGAGCCAATGGCAAGTATCATGTTCAAAATTGCTAACCATTTTTTGCCCGGCCGTATAGAACTATCAGCGAACAGCTGCTGGTACTGTTGTAAAAATAATGATTCTCGTATGATAGGAAATGACGCATGAATGGATCCCAGATAATTGTTAAGAAACTCATCTGCGACATGTCTCGGAGGCAGAGCACTGACATCAACTGACCCCGAGCTGAATAATGAGCCCTGATCGTCGTGATAAGACTGAGAAGCAGTGGTGCGATTATGTAGTGGGGCCAATGCACCCCTCTGGTTTTCTGGCAGTTCGTGGGATTGACTCTTTTCAAAGTCGTTGTCTACTTCTGACTGCAGACGCTTTAACCATGCAGATTGGGAATTTCTGCCAAGAAAACCCGTGGCCCTACTCTCTTCTGTCTGATTTAAATCCTCTGTGAGATTATCAAGGCCGTCAAATGTACCCCTGATTGAAAATGGCTGCGAGCGTTTGAGATGGATATGCTTCTTCGTTAGAGAGTTAGAGTTTTTTAAGGCAAGTAGAGATGAAAGTGGCTGGATCAACATACGTCTGACATTTCCTGCCCTTGAGTTGAGGTTGGAAAGCTAGCACCCTCCATAAATCCTGCCAAGGAAGATTTAAGCTGTTCATTCTCGGTTGTTAACTTCGAAATGAGCTCTCTATTTCTCTCACGCTTGTTGCTCGAGTAGATACAGTCCTTGGCGGAGATCAAACACTGCCTATAGCTTGGCTTTTCCCTGCCGCATTTGATCCTCCGTTGGCGACATATATCATAAGCACGAGATACTTGTATCTTGGATACTTGGCGATGTCTCGATGCTAAGTGGGATATTGGTTGCTTTTCCATTTTAGGACTTCCGAGGGTCGAATATATCCGTTTGTTTAGATAGAATGTCCTCACTTCGAAGGTATCTTACTAACAAGCGGACTCTAGGCTCAGATGCACGCTCTAAGAATTGAAAAGTGCGTGATTGGATCTTCGTATAGAGTAACACCTATTACATCATTTTTGCTGAGCGATTGTTGTGATGAAGTGGGGTTTTGTTAAGTGAAGTACTTGTTGAAAAACTGACTCATATGCAGGTAAAATTTGAATTGGCGCCATATTAAGAGGTGACCAGCCCATTTGTTGGAATATGCACGTTTATCACATCCTGACTTATTCACAACCACCAACTGGTCTGTGCTGAAGTCTGAAATATGACTAGCATATTCATCCGGCAACTGACTACTGGATACCGTATAGTAATTTGCTAATGTGGGTTGGTTTGAGAAAGAGACAGGAACTACTGGCTATTTTAGACCGAAAGTCTACTTCGGAATCTACTCTTTTCCGTTTGCCGATGGGCGGTGCCGAACTCGCATGCTCCATTATATCTTGGTAATCTCGATAAGTATAATCAGGGCAACCTGTACATCGACATCGCAGGCGTGTATGATCCTCCTCATCGTCACTGATTTCAGTGAATAGTGAAGGCGACCCCGCTGCTTCGCCAACATCATGGCCCACTGTTAAATCCTCATAATCAAGACAAACTTGTCAGGTGTGACCTTGATTGATGGGATCGCTAGTTGATTCTATGGCTGTGTGCGACACTGTTGCAGGGTTTACCACATGTATACGCACACTATGTGCACGATATTGACCGATCAAAAACAGTAGATACTGCTAAGTCCGAGAACTGGATTGTATCTGACTGAACACGAATGTCCATTGCTAATTATAATGGACCGGAAACGTTTTTCTATCTATGCAGATAGAGGTGAGTGACCGGTATGGTTGACCATGGGTTATCACGTTTATATGTACACCATTCTTTTTACGTAGTCTCAATATAACAACTGTTATCTACTACCCTGTCCCTGCAAGTTACGCGCCCAAAAACACTTTGTGACGGTCGAAGATTGCATAAGATCCAGCACTTCGGTGCGGCTAAGTCGCACGGGTAATCTACAACAGGCACTGGAAGATCTGCGTGTCTCTTTTTATTGTTCTGGTGTAGTCAAGGATTGTACCCTTGTTTACTATGAATCTTCTCTTTGGGGTACATACCGCTTTCCCAAGCCCCGCGCCATTCATGCAGGCAGACCAATTCTGAACAGGGATGTGTGTTCAGTTGATTCGGCATATTCGGGACTCTGCCTTATCTGGACACATATTGGGTGATCTTCGCATGAAGAAAATGTAAGCTACGACCCAATATTATCTCTCCATTCGACTATTTTTATGAGTTCCTCACACGACGAATCAAAGTCTCGTGTCCAATGTCTCCCCATTCCTTCTCCTCACCAGTATCCATTATTTCTCTCTAGCTACCTAGTATAAGCTTAAATCATGGTATGGGTGGCTGAAAGCCCAAACCTTGGCGATCTTGGTGGTTTTAGACTGTGCTCGGTGCAGACTAGATCTAGGGCAACAGGAATCAGCTGATGTCAGGTATTACAATGCCAGTGTGTACCAAATATTGCAACAACGAAGCAACATTACAAATACAGTTCTGGGAGTCTCGACGTTCCCTCATGACGTACATATCATGTGATGCAGATGACAACGGTTCTGTCATACCAGTTCATGCTTTGTCTCGAGGGCTCGAGTACACACTTGATGTTGAGAGATGAGTGCTGAAAATGCCTATTATTGTGGCGCAAACTGTTCACAATGCATGCGGTAGATCGTACTGCAAAATATATACGTAAGCGCAAGTTATATACTTAGCTAATGTCCTTGATTGACAATTCCCGTGGTTGTGGTTTCTTCAGGTCAATAGACCTAGACCGCTACAAGGATTAGTCACACGTGTTGACCATATTGATACCATGTGTGCCGCGATATGTCGCAGAGTCAATCGATCTTGAGCCTAGATGGAAAGCACCATGGAAGACGAAAGTGGCTGGACAGCAGACTAGCCAGCTTCTGAGCAATAATGAGGGAATAACTTTTGACCAACCTGGTTACTGTGAGAGCACCGGGGGTAAAATGATCTACGTAATGGTGTATCCGAATTGACCGGATCGTCGTCCATTAGTATGTATGCTGTGGAAGAACAATAATCTGATTCGACAACCATAATTGCCACTGCTGGATTTCGCGGCTCCAAGGTGAAGGGATTCTGTCGTCTAGTCAAAATCCCGATCCCAACTGCATGGTCTAAGTGACGTTTGGGCTGGGAGTTAGATGAATCACTTCGCACGAATGGACATGGATTTGGCTGTTCCGCTGCTGAGTTCAACATGGTTATACTAGAAATAAAATAAGGTGTCTGTTTTGTAATCATGTTTACATCTATGAACAACTGAATTATCAATTGTAAAACTTACAGAAGGGCGCGAATTTATAGTCTCAATCCGTGCGTCCCAAAACGAGCATCGGAAAAGCAAAATTGGACTGCGTCAACAATAACCCACCAAAGCTCTGTCGATCCTCTTCAGGAACGAGTTTCAGTTTGCAAACTAGAGATCTAAAGTAATATGTCGCTTTATCAAGTCTATGTCTAAATACAAACAAGACAAGTTGAACAAACAGCTATCATGAGAAACCTAGGATCCACCTCCATGTACTCAATCGCACCGCAAGTAAATCTACCGGTCTCCGGTCTTCGGATCATTCTATGGGCTCTTTTCCCGTGTAACCACGTCATCTGCATAAAGGAGGGCTCATGTCTGTAACTATCACGGCGATCAAGACGCGCCTAGCAGTAGTTGTCGTGCTGCAATGTGGTCAGCTACTCGGCGCTTCACGCATGGCAAGAGTCTCTGTGGTGCATCATGTAGCCATGATGCAGATGATACGAACGTGCGACATGATACGACTGTTATCAATCGGTATATCTGTAAATGCATAGTATGGTTGAGGGTACTAGGAGTAGCCACACATCTGCGAAGACATGTATCTACCACTGTGGTTATGCCCTCAATTAGTGGAGTCCGAGCGGGCCAGCAATTTTCAGCAAGCCATGTCAAGGTCTGACCAGCCTATCTCTGCTAAGTGGAAAAATGAGGGAATATCGGACTGGCACAGGACGTAACAAGTTATATTTGTTTCTTTCCGTAATTTACCTCCCATTTCATCTCCGCCAGTACATCATTCACATTTCTTTTTTCGTCTCGATTTCAAGCTTGTCCAATGATAACCGTTGCTTGGGTCGTAAATGAGCTACTCCACTATTATGATCATCATGAGGAGACGCAGTATCCCCATTCTCGGGAAGAGCGAGGGCCACTGGATCATTTGGAGCTCTTTTTCTGATAGTTGGACATCCAAGCCGGAAGGCTATTTCCCATCACGGATCTGCAAACTTGCCATACGAGCTACCTTTTGACTGCATGATGAGCTTGGAGGGAGCTCCTCAATATATGTATACGTCGGGAAATATCAACATTCTCCTTTGTAGATCTCAACTTTGTGTCACAAGATATATCAAAAGAAAAGTGCTTCATTCTTCTAATTGCAATCCGCTTTGCAGAGATAAAGCTGTTGTACCTTTCCTACGTCGTTGGGTAGGTATACCTGTTTCATAAGTGCTTTGAGGTACTTTCGTCTCATTGGAATGATGGAAACTCGCACCATTAGCTTGCAAATGCCAATGCCTGCCCTCATGTCTAAAGAAAAGAGCGCTACCAACACTTCTACCACCTCAAGACAACAGCCTGGGTCAGCATGTGAAGAGTGTCGGCGGAAGAAACTAAGATGCGATAGACAGCCACAATGCGGTAATTGTGTCGAAGCCGGGGTCGTATGTACCACGACCACTGTACGGCCTGCCAGAGGACCGAAGAAAGGTCATCTGAAAGCCTTGAAAGGCAGAATAGGCAAGTCGTTATTTGACCACATATATCAAGATGATGCTGACCCGAATGCTATAGCAACACTTGAACGATGTATTATGGAACAACAAGGCGGTATAGCACTGCCACTAAGTGATGTGTCACTCTCACCAGAAAATACACAACCATGCAGTCCAGACAGAGAAAACATGGACAAATCACTTGAAAGACGAACATCACTCGCATCTATAACATCGTCAATCCAAACACCATATGTCATTCCAGAGCTTGTAGAAGCCGATTTGTATGTCGTCGCCTAGATCATCTACACAGATCATACCAAGACGTGCATTTAACTATGCTAATATTATTCAGGGATCAATTATATTTTGAGAGAGTCCATCCACTCATTCCTGTACTGCAACGAACCCGATACTTCACATGGGCCAAGGGACCATCAAAATCCGACTCACGAATTGCCTTACAATATGCCATGTGGACACTTACAGCTTCACTATCAACCCACTGCCAAAGCATTCGCGACTCTCTATATACTCACACCAAAAGAACACTTAAGGTAATCGAGTCCAAGAATAATAAAATGGACTACTTCAACATAGAACAAGCTCAAGCATGGCTCTTACTAGCAATATACCAGTTTATACGGAGTACTTATTGAAAGGGTTGGCTAAGTGCTAGACACTTGATCCGACTCATTCAGATAATGCATTTATATAAGATTAACAGTCCTAATAAATTGGCCACCTAACTCATGGAACCGGACTGGGTAGAAGTAAAGGAGAAACAACATACCTTCTGAATGGTATACATACTAGACAGGTTCGCTAATATTCACAAGAGATGGCCTATAACCCTAACAGAGCACGTCTTGACTCGTCTTCTCATACCAGAGGCTGAGTTTCAGAGCGGACAGTCTATCAATATAGGGTTTCTGTCCAATTTTATTTCTAGTAGTGACTTTATTACAGCGCCACAGTCCTCCTTTTCCGAATGCATTATTCTTACTATTATCTACGGTCGCAGTCTGTCTCACCGACACCTATCTATCATTAGTTTGCGTTGAACCAAAGGATAGTTTAGGGTTATAGCTAACAAAGTTCTTAGAAGCTAGAATATATATAGCTAGCTTTATTTATAATTTAGAAGAAATTAATATCATAATTAATTTTTATTTATAGCTCTTTTATAGTTATTATTTTCTAGATTTTTTTATATTAATATATTCTTTCTCTCTTTATAAATATCTTACTCTTATAATCTAACTAAATCTTCTATATTAATAAAAGAATTTAATTTTTTATTTTATCTTTATATTCTTACTTAATAATGAATAATTCTTTATACTAAGTATAATTTATATTATAATTATTATAATCTTCTATTAAATTTTATTATTTTTAGTAGCTTGACTTTATTAATAACTAATAATAAGCTTAGTATTATTTATACTTTTAATTATTTAATATAATTCTTTTATTCAACTCTTTCTTATTTAAGTTATTTAGTATATTCCTTAAACTAATTCATTTAGTTATTCTTAACTCTTAGTTTATTTTTAAATTACTATATATATTTAATTATCTAATTAAATTATTCTTTAAGAGTAATATAATAGACTAGTATCTTATTATCCTTATTATAGTATATTATTACTATATATTATTACTATCTTGCTATAGCTTAGACTGTTTATTATAATTATTACCCTAAGATAAATAAATTATTATTATTTATTATTTTAAATATTTAAGTAAAGATTTTATTTTTTATATTAAGGGTCTTAAATTATTAAAAACTTTAATTTAATTATTATCAAGTATAGCTAAGATAATTATTAATAAATAAAGTTAATAGACTTTTAGTATATAAAAGTTATAAAAAAATAAATAAAGTCTTAAAGAAAAATAGAATATCCTAATTAATAGAAGATTATATACTTAAATTATTTTAATTAATTTAAGATAATAGAAGAAAATTAAATATAGGATAAATAAATATTCTTATATAACTTTCCCCTATTATAATTAATATAATTATTACTCTGTTCGCTCTATTTTCATAGATATAGTTAATATAGCTATAGCTCTATTAGCTCTGTTACCCTAATTCTAGTGATTCAGATAATCATCTATTCCATCATGCATTAGTTCCGTAGGGATTATCCGCTTCATTGATTATAACATTCTGATTCTCTGACAACATGTATATATATTCTATATTCAAATCTATCCCTAGGCCAACGCCGAATCCTAGCTACGTTCTTGCAACCCCTGTCACAATAAGCCTTTATAGATACTTTAACATGCACCCTTTAGGTGTAATAACTGTTAGAAACTAGGGCATAAACATAATAGGCGCCCCGATCCTTCTAGCTAATCTAATCAACAAAAATTTATTTTTATATGTGTTTTATATGACCTTAAAAAATTAGGTGGGTCCCAGGTGTTCGGTTTACTCGGGTGTTCGGTTTACCCGGGAAATACTTTACAACCTCGGCTGTATTATTAGAGGATTTTAGCAAAGGCTCCATGAAACTCCTAGCGTTGGAAACATTTTCTGAAAGGGTATAGTATAATAGTGCTAGTAAATCCTTAACTGCCTTTTTATTTTCTATAAATAATAATAATAAGGCGGTAAGCAATCTAGCTAATTTTAGAAGTATTTATATATGTGACGGCCTAGTACGATTTGGCTTGGCGGCACACGGTTACTGCGGAAGTACCCGCGGGCCGTCTCCCATGGACGAATCATATGCAGGGAAGATATGGGGCTAGATATGCCTTATAGGGATTACCCTATATTTTAATTTATACTATAGATTACTAAAAAATCTATATAATATTAAGAAGAATAAATAGTCTTTATCAGTTAATATTCTATATTATTAGAACCTTCTAGAAATCTAGATTACTAGATATCAGTATATAATAGAGATAGCTTATAAGTATCTAGAATAGAAGAAAGTATAAATAGAAGAAAAAAAGCTAGTAATTATTTTTTCTTTTTCTTTTCTCTAATTTAGTCTCTTTATATTTAATAACTAAATAGATTTAATATTATATTATTATATTAAACTAAACTCTTATTTATTTATTAATATTAATTCTTATAAATCTATAAGTAAACTAATATCTTAATTTTAGATAACTTAATATACTTAATTTAGGATTATTTTTTTTTTATTTTATTATTCTTAAACTAAGATCTAGATTTTAAATTTAAAAATTAAAATAGTTTAATTACTTAAGCTGATATTAGAGAAGTTAGATAAATATTATTTATTATATTTTTTCTTAGAAGTAGAAGATAATAAAAAATAAAAATCTTAGAATATTAAATATAAGATATTTAAAAAATATATAGATAAGAATCTAGTTATATTATTTAATTAATTAATATAAGAATAATATAAGAACTTATACTAAATTAATATATTAAAAAAATAATAAAATATCTATAAAAAGACTATTATAAATTAATATAAAGTAATAAAAGAATTAATAAAAGAATAAAATCTTTTATAATATTAATTTATTAAATTAAGTCTTAAAAAATCTTTTTTTATTACTAAAGATAGCAGTAAAAAGATTATTAAATTTTTTAATAGACTAGCTTTAATTAATAAAAAAGATTTCTCTTTTAAATCCTAGCTTATTAGAGTTAAAGATAAATTAAAAACTAATATTAATTATTATCTAGACTTCTTAACCTATATAATATATATATAATATATATACTACAAAGAAATAGCAAACTATATTCTTTTTTAATTCTAAAATAATACTATTAAATTATATAAGGATATTAAAAATATTTTTAAATATCTTAAGATTATTTATTATAATATAAATTAAGTTATTAATATAAAGATTATATTTTACTATCTAGTTATAAAGCTAAGTAATTAATTTCAGATCTTTCTATTAATATTTATATATTATATCTAAGAATCAGAGACCCTATATATATAATAAAAAAATAAATTATATAATAAATTAAGTCTTAAATTAATGAAATTAATAATTAAAAAGATAAATAATAATAATATCTTTTACTTTAAATTTATAACTTAATATACTTAAATAATTAATTACTTAGAGCAGATTTAGAAAATTAAGAAATATATTTATTTATATAATAATAAAGAAAATTAAACTACAAAAATACTACATAATTAATTTAATATTAATATTAATAATAGTTCTAATAATAATAGTAAAAAAATATAATATAATTATTTAAGTAAAAAAGAATATACTAAACTCTTTAAAAAAAAAATACTATTATTATAAAATCTAAGAACATTAAACTAGCAATTATCTTCTTAAAAATAGCTAATCTAAAAATAATATCATTAAATAATTTAAGATAATAAATAAAAATAAGTAGGCTGCTATCTAAAAAAAAGATTCTAATTCAGAAAATAATAATATCTAGGAAAAGTCTTTATCCTAAATAAAGTTTATATTAATTTATATGAATTAGATATTAAATAATTAATAGAATCTAATAAAAAAAATTTTATTATATCTATATAACTTGTTCAAGGAATATATTTAATATCTATTAAAGTATTAATTAATACTAGAGTAAATAGATTAGTATTTATTAATATCTACTTAGTTATATTACTAGCAAGGTTTTTTAATCTTAAAATAATACCCTTAAAAAAGCTAATAAGAGTAAAAGAATATAATAAGAAAAGATAGAATAGAATCTCTTATATATTTAAGTTAATATTAGTTATTAATAAAAGATATTATATTAAAATATTATTTTTAATCCTTAATATCAGAACATATAATATAATATTAGATAAAATATAGCTTATTAAGTATAATATCTTAGTAGATTACTAAAATTAATAATTAATTTAGTCTAAAGATGTCTCCTTAAAAAATTAAGCTATAAAGATTAATTACTATATAATTTCTAGAGCTATTTTGTAATAATTAAGAGATATTAATTTATAATATTAGAAGAATATAATATACTATAACTATCTTATAGAAATAGAGAACTAAATAATAGAAAAACTTAATCTAAGCTGCTTCTAGATCTAGGATCTAGAAGTAAAAAACCTTACTAATTAATTAGAAGCCTTAAAATTTAATTTTTTATATATAAGAAAATCAGTTAATTAATTAGAAGAAAAAGAAGTTTAATTAAATATTTTTTTATTTTTGTTTAGAAAGGCCACTCTAATTATATAGAGCTATATATATTAGTAAAATTATTAGGAATTACTTAAAAAGATAAAAAAGATTTTAATTAAAGCTCTAAAAGAAGAAATAAAGAATAAGTTAAAAAAAGAATTCCTAGATATAAAATAAGAATAAATATATTTAAAGAAAATCTAAGAAATATTAAAGGAAATAGATATAATATTTATTAACATAATAAAATTTAGTATAAGTATTAGAATAAAGGATTTAGTCTTATTAATAATAAGTCTTTATAAGATTAATAATGCTATTAAAGTAAAGAAGGATCTGCTGAAATTTATAGCACTTAATATTAAAAAAATCTAAAAATAATTATCAGAGATATATAAGGATTATATAAATATATTTTTAAAAGATTTATTAGATTAGTTATTAATTTTTAAATCTTATAATTATAAGAT